TTCCTGCTCATAGTGACCCTGTAGGACTGAGGACAACTGTCCCTGTGGGTTTCCGGGGCTGTGACTTTTTATGGGAGTAGAAAGCCTTATCTTTCTCCCTCCGAATGGCTGGTGGTTTTGAGCTGCTGACCTTGAGGTTCGCAGCACTGAAACCTTTGCTGTTTTACATGCAGGAGCCTGGCAGCATAGCGGTTGAACAATCAGCTGCTAGCCAGAAGGTGAGCAGCCCGAGCCCACCAGCCCTCCCTTGGGAGAAAGAGGTGGCAGTTGGCTTCTGAAAAGATTTCCGGCCTTGGAAAACCTGGTGGTGCCCCAGCTGCCCTCTTGTTCTGCCCTGTGGGGTCCCTGCGTTGAAGTTGACCTGACAGCAGTGGGTGAGGTTTGGGTTTGGGAGCTGGTGCTTATTTTGGAATTCAAACCCACCTGGGCAGTCTGTGTTCTTGTCTGTCGAGTGTGGCCGCCCTTGAATGGGGAGCCTCACAGGTGGGCACCTGGAGGTGACAAGGCAGGCTCACAAGCCACCCTGCAAAGGTGCAGCCAGGAAAGGACTGTAGGCTGGGTCCAAATGTAGGCTAGGTAACCACTTGATCGGATTGCTGTAGAAGCAAGCAGGCTCTAAGATGTCTCACCCCTGTGAGACTCTGGTCGGTAAGCATGGTGGAGACAAGCCGGAGAGGGGCTCTCTGACATCATTCCCCAGCAGCAGTGAGCCCAGAAGCCCATGCTCTCCCTGTGGCCCTGGAGTGATGCGTGCCCTCAGTGGCCGTGGAAACCAGCCCCGACCAGCGTGGTCTCTTTAAACGATCTGGCCCGGCTTCAAGAAGCACTGTGTGAAAGGTGAAGTGACCTACACCGGCTTTTGTTTCTCTTCCCAGGGATCGATCGATGGAGGCTCCTCGGGACTTGATGTATCTCCGGCAGCAGCGTGTGGCTCCTGTGACCTGTTGATAACTGCCAGTCCCCTGCCTCCCTCCTGTTGCAAGCGGTAGCATGAAAAACCCCCATCCCCACGGCTCCGCACAGGCCCTTACAGGCAAGTGAGTGGAGGCGGGGACTACGCAGCATTCAGTCGCGGGCTTTTTGGATGAGATTTCTCTGGGTCTGGCTACAGCCTGGCCACAAGCCAGGATCTTAAACACAACCCGCTTTTCGTTGCCCGGGTATGGCTTCTGCCCTCTGCGAGTTCCCACAGCCAAGATCTGATGCGTGGCCCAGTCCTTCCTGGCCACTGGCTTCCAGGTAGCCCCATGCGAGGGTCACTCGGTCCCATTTTGATGGTAGGAAGGAGGCAGGTAAATCCACCAAAGCAAATCTTGGCACAGTGGTTAAGCACTACCCTGAGACCCACCAGCCCTGCTCAGGGGAAAAGCCCGGGCCATCTGCTCCCATGACAGTGACCGCTTAGAAAACTATGAGGGCCATGGGGTCATGCTGAGTCGGCCTGGACTTGACCGCCAAGCCATGTGATGGAGTCTGCCAACAAGCCCCAATGACGTTTTCTCACGATTGTCATCCCCTTTGTCAGAACGTTTGCAATTTGATGTCACGATCGACTCAACCCCTTAATGCTGCCCACTGGGAACAAAATCCCATCAGATACAGGGTCAGAGTACCGCTCTCGTGTGAGTGGGAGAAGTGGGTGTGCAGTTGAGACTGCTTTCTGCCCTCGCCTGTTCCTGGTCTTGCCCTTGGGGTCCAGGCCCATTTCTGAGTAGCCGGGATGTCTCTCTTGTGTTTTCAAGGAAGAGCCCCTGAATGGATGACACCTGACACCATGCACCACCAGTGGCTCCTGTTGGCCGCCTGCTTTTGGGTGGTTTTCATGTTCATGGTGGCCAGCAAGTTCCTCACACTGACCTTCAAAGACCCTGAAGGTAAGTGTGCTGGCTTTGTGTTGATGCATGCAGACGGCCTGTGCCAGAGGGAGGCTGGAGGGCAGTGTCCCAAGTCCTCCTGTTAACAAGACCCAAGAGGGGAGGGAAGGCCTAGGGGCCAGACATGGCTTTGTTTAGGGCTGAAGCCTGTCAGTTGCAGGAGTAGCCCCCCCACCCCACCCACAGGGCCATGGTGTGCAGTGTGTTGCTGCTTTGTCACCTTGGGTAACATCCTGGTTTGGGACATTGCTGGGCTGTGTGGCTCTGGTAGATACGAGTGCTCTGTGGACCCTGATCATCTGTCCTGGTGGCCATGTGTCAAAGGTCACAGCCAGTGCAGCGGACAGAAGGCCATTTAAACAGTGTTGGGTTGTAGCTGGGGATTTCTAGATTCTCTGCACTGAACACAGGCATACAAATGGGGTGTGGAAAGGGAGCTGGTTTCCCATTTGCTCACCTGAGCCTGAGTGTTCTGTTTTTTGACCTGATACATAACATGGGTGGGGTACCCATTCTGATACCCATCTCAAAGGCGGGGCATGCTGCCTGCTCTGACACTCCCAAGTTTGCCATGAGTGTGGGGTGGTGCTTGGGGGTCTGTGAAGTGCAGGCTCTGTGCGAGGAAGGGTGACGGTGGCCTCGTATTTCAAGATCCGAGGCCTCTGGCTGTGTTGAGAGGGTTCGGCGGGAGGATGCTGCCTCATACTGATCGCTGTGTGTGAGTGCCACACCATCTTTGTCCTGCACAGCCACCCACCGACAATACGTCTTTTAGAAGGGGCTGCTCGGAAAGGCGCCCGCACCAGCACTTTCCCAGTTGGACTCCTTGTGGACTGGGCAGACCTGGGCTGCAGGCGGCTACCCTGCCTCAGAATGCATCCACCAGCAGCTACCTGCCGTGATGAGGGCTGTCCTTGGGCCACCTCCTGCCCCCTTCCTCTCTGTCCCCACTGCCTGTAAGGGAGCAGCAAGGTCAGAAGGCTGTTTGTCACTGAGCAGCAGGAAGGGAAGTCTGTGCTATTAGCCCTGGGAGCTGGTTCCCAGCGGTGCACTTTCCACACAGCCAGGTTCATTAGGCATTTAGTGCTGAGGGCCCCGACTGGCTGTCACTGGAAACCACATTCATCTTCCAGGAGCCCAGTGAGAAGCCCATTGAAGTTTCACAGCCTTGGGATGGTGGCTACTCACTGGTGGGGATTAGGGCTGGCAGGAGCATCATGGATGATCATAGCGTACACCAAAACATGGGATTGTTGCCATAACCTAACCTAGCTTATCTTGCCTCTTGCAGGGCTCTATATCACTGCCCCTAAGTAGATGATTAAGATCCTGAAGATAATGGCTCACTGAGTTCTTTTTTGTTTTTAATTTCCTTTTTCTTTTAACTGATCAGAATGATTTATTCATTTGCTTGTTTGCTTATTTATTTAAAATCATTTTTATTGGGGGCTCTTACAGCTTTTATAACAATTCATACATCAATTGTATCAAGCACATATGTACATAGGTTGCCATCGTCATTTTCAAAACCTTTTCTTTCCACCTTAGCCCTTGGTACCAGCTCTCTTTCCCTCCCGGCTCACCGAGTTCTGCACAGCAGGAAGTGAGCTTACTTCCCAGGGTTTCTGATGATTGTGCATTGGGTCAGGCATCCAGGAGAGAGAAGGCGACCACCACCCCTGGAGGCCACTAGGAAGAGCCACTGTGGGTTTGTTCATTGAGGCACCTCCTGCCACAGGGCACATTGAGGCTTGCTCCCCACGGGGACAGCCACTCCACCTCTTCTGCCTGAGGCCCTCTTCTGCCTGAGGAGGCAGTCAGGCAGCTCAACAGGACACCGAAAGGGGTTTGTAACTGTGGCCCGAAGGGATTTTCTCGCTCATTGGAGTTGGCTTCACTCATGGTCACAGTGTGTTTGCTTTTGAACCCAAAGCCCATCTTGAAGTGTCATTACAAGCAAAGAACCTTAGCACCCAGGGGAATCCATCCCAATGAAGTGCTGTTCTTTATAAGGCCGATGGTGAGCCCTGGCTCTCGGCTTTACAGGGAGCCTGCTCCTCTGCCTCTGATCTTGGGGGAATGCAGCTCTTCCCCAGAATCCCGCTTAGTGATGAGTCTGTTTTCTCCTCCTGCACCTCTTTGTGATGATTTCCCCCTGCTCCTAGAGCCAGTAGGCACCCTGGTGGCACTGTCAAGCTAACTGCCAGCCCATGGGGGGGTGGGAGGGTGAGAAAGATGAGGCACTCTGCTCCCGTGAAGATTTACAGTGTTGGAGACTCTCCACAGGGTTGCTGTGAGTCAGAATCAACTTGCTCACAGTGGCTGGGGTGGGGTTACCGGAGCACAGAGGAAGAACAGGTTTTTCTTTCTAAACTGCTGTTTAGAGCAGCGCTAACCTTAAAACAACAACAAAAAACAGTGGTGCGGTCTGTCTGGAGCAGATAGGAAGAACAAGTCTTACTTAAACTGCTGTTTACAGCAGTGGTTCTCAACCTTCCTATTGCCACGACCGTTTAATACAGTTCCTCATGCTGTGGTGACCCCCAACCATAAAATTACATTTGTTGCTACTTCATAACTATAATTTTGCTACTGTTATGAATTATAATACAAATTTCTGATATACAGGATGTATTTTCATTGTTACAAATTGAACATAATTAAAGCATGGTGATTAATCACAAAAAATATGTAATTATTTAGTGAAATGTATCTCTTTTTTTGAAATATTTTTAATAACAGATAAATGAAATTTTGAAGCATAGTGTAGAATGGGTAACAGTCTTAAATATTAAAACAACAGTGAACTCCATTGCTACATTTTGGGACAGTATGTGTAAAAAGCCAACATCAGTGCCAAGGTTGAGATAGCTTCTTTCTCACCAGATCAGCATAGCTGCATGTGGGCAGACCCACCTGGGGAGGGAGAGAGGAGCCATGTCTTGGTTCCTCAGACCATCGGAAATGTGTTTTCCAATGGTTTTAGGCGACCCCTATGAAGGTCATTTGACCCCCAAAGGGGTTGCAACCCTCAGGTTGAAAACCATCTGGTTTAGAGCATTACTAACCTTAAAAAAAATCCCAGTGGTGTGGTCTGTCTTCCGTTGTGCAGTGGAACCGTAATGATATTTTTGGGTTAACAAATCTCAGCGTAATCTTGAGGTTAGGGTTACGTGTTGTAACTGGGCTTACAAGTTATAACTGGAATTTGAAGGTCTGTGTTGGTACTAGGATATTTTTTAAGGACATTCTTGTGAATGGGGTGTGTGTGTGTGTGTAGGGGTGTGTGTAACTTGATTGTTCTTCTCTCTTCTGTTTTACTTCACTCTCACAGTCTTTGCCTGACCTCGGTTCCCCAACTTGGTAAGCCACTTGTGGGCGGAGGCAAGCGTGCCTGCCTGACTGCAGGGATTTTGCAGACCCTGCCAGCCAGCAGGTCCAGAGCCATGCCCATTGACTAGATGCAAAGGGCAGTCATGAAGTGGAGTGAGAGTGATGATCACTTTGGGAGGGAGGACCCCCCCCCCCAAAATAGTATATCACTTATAAATCAACAAACATTCTGGGGAAAATTATAATGATGCTTACAACAAAAATAAATGAATACATTGTGAAGACCCTTAGCCATACCTAAAGGGTTGGTGTCATTGTTCCTGAAACTCAAGACTTGCTCTTGGGGTGGGGGGTGTCAGGTGGGGCTGGGGGGTAGACAGGGAGAGAGTCACTCTGATTGTAAGGGAGATGGTGATGAAAATAAACGTTGCCCGTAAGTCAGCAGGAAAAGATAACTAAATGCAAATTGTGTTCGGAGCTCTTTCCCTCTGGTAGGATCCAGGCTAAGGGAATTTAGGAAATGTGAAATCACATTTTATTGTTATAAGGTGTCATCCAGTTGATTGTGATTTATGTCCACCCCACCTGCTGCTTGGGGCAGACCTGACCCCTGGCCTTAGTAGGTTGAAACCTCTATGAAAATAAATTGCCTGATCTTTTCCTCTCTCACAGCCCTTAGGAGGGTTCAAACCGCCAAACATTTTCGTCAGCAGCTGAGTGCTTAACCATTGTGCCTCTAGGGTTCCTTTAAAAAACATTCAGATCAGGATGGCGACGACCCCAGCCATGGAAGGTGAGAGGCTGAGAGGCCCCATGGCTGCCAGAGCTCGTTCTGGTCTGCTTCTTAGGGTGTGATTTAGGTCATCTGTCAACATCCACTCACTAGTCAGTGCTTAGGATGCAGGGTGCACCTCCCCATCTACTATGTTATTAAGGGGCCATCAGTTTCTCCAAAACCCATTCAAACCTGTGACACTGCTAAGCATGGCACGAAGACTAGCAGAAAACAATGCTGTAACTCCGAGTCCGCACAGGAGAGTGGGATGAGCCTGGTTTCTATTGGCATGTCGGTACTCACAGATGACAAGTTTAGGAGGGCCATCGGCCGCTCAGAGCCCAGCCCAGGCAGTGCCCTCAGGAGCACCAAAGGCCTGTGGGTGGCCCGGATGCTTTTGTCCACTTGTCCACAGAAGTGTCCCTGACCTTATTCCAGGTGCAGAGCCGGGCCAGCCCCCAGGGTGGGCGAGGACTGCAATTTGACTCTAGAGAAGGAAAGAAAGATCTCAGTGGCACTAAGATAGGTATGGGAGTTAGTGGAATCAAGTCACACCGAGGTGTAAGATGAGGGGATAGAATCACGACCGTGGTTGGGGCATTTGTAAGGATTTGGGGGGCATAGAGACCTCCTCTCTGCAGAGAAGAAGGAAGGACATTCGGGTGGCTGGGTACTTGTAACCCATGCTGTCTGGGAAGGAAGGGAGGGGTCAGTTCAGCAGCCAGACCTCTGGAGGGGCTGTGGAGCTGCAGCCTGGTGGGTGTGCATAGGGCAGGCTCTAACAACACAAGAGGAGGAGGTGTTGAATTAAAGAAAAAAAAAGTATTGCTTTGTGTAAGTCGTTGATTTTTTGTTTCCATCTACTTTTTCTCCCTAAATGCGTAGGTTTTGAGAAATCCTGCAGTAAATATTTCTTGTTCTGAGAGGTACCTGGGGGGCTACCTTCCCATTCTCTCCTGAGGTTCCCAAAGTACTGTGGTAAATGATTGCCGGGCGCAAGCCCACTGCAAGCTGCCTACACCCACATCTCAGGGCCCGTGGCGTTCTCCTGTCTTGAAATGAACACGCACGCACTAGCTTGATTGCCGACTTGGCTGCAGCTTTTTTTCCCCCCTTTCCGAATTTTCCTTTATCGTTTGTGATTCTGGTCGACATTCACAGAGGAACACAGAGGGCCCCTCAGTGCCCTCACCTGTTTTCCACCGAGGGTTGCCTCCTGGAAAATCTGTAGCAGTGGGTTAGTGACGCTGGTGCAGTCAGGATCCAGAACATGGCCATCCCCACAGGCTCCCTGGTGGCGGCCCTTGTAGCCACCCCTCACCTCAGCCCCCAACCTCATTCCTCCCCCAGTGCCTGACCCCCCCACCCCACCCCTGGCAACCACTGAGGAGCTCTCTTGTCTCAATGGTGCTCTCTGTCACTCATGAGTTCTATCAGTGAAATTATACACGGGACTTTGGGGGATTTTTTCTTTTTCATGCAATGTAATTCTCCGGAGATCTAGCCCAGTAGCTGTCTGTGTCCATACATCATCCCTGCTGACTGCCGAGTTTGCTTAAACACTCACCTGCTGAAGGACATCGGGATCATTTCAGAATTGGGGCTATTCAGAATAGGACCGCCATAAACATGGTGTGCTGATATTTTTAAGTGAATATCAGCTTCATTTTGGTGGGATAAATTCCCAGGATGTGGGTCCATTCATAGAAACTGCCACACTGATTTCCTGGGTGGGGGCTGCAGGGACCTTTTCACGTCCCGGTCCCCCGGCAGTGTGAGCGTGAGCCAGTTTCCCTATGTGTTCACCAGCGTCTGGCGTCGGCACGACTGACTGGAGGCATTCTGACGGTCGGCAGCGATGTCCCCTCCTGGTTTCCCTTGGCCTTCCCTTTGCTGCTGCTGCTGAGCATCGGTTCATGTGCTCCTCGCCCTCTGTGCGTCTCTGGTGAAGTCCCCTTTCTAACTGGATGGTTTGTTCTTTACTGCTGCACTTTGCAAGCTCATTTTTATAGTCAGATGTTAGTCCTCAGTCAGATAGGTAGTTCACACATATGTCCCCACCGTCTGTAGCTATGCCATTCCAGCATCTTCACAAAGTCTCTTGAGATCAGAGGTTGTTTTTTGGTTTGTTTGTTTGTTTTTTTTTTTCATTTTGATGGGGTCCAACTTATGCAGTTTTGAAGATATGTCTCCCTCACTATCTTCAAGTCTCTAGTATTAGGTTTATGAACTAAAGCCTGTGAGCCACATGGAGCTCCTCCTTTGTGCATAAAGTGTAAGACCAGGGTCAGGCCCTGGCTCTTTTTTGGTGTAGAAAATCCCACGGTTCCAGCACCATTTGTTGACAAGACTACTCTTCTGCTGTTGGATTGTTTTGCCACCTTGGTCAACTGTGAGCTGGTCACAACTGGGGTGGGATCCATTTCTAGGTTCAAGACTCCATTCCAGTGATCGGTGTGTAAGGAGACTCTAACCTCCCTGTCTTCCAGTGTTCAGTGCTGAACAGGAGCTTCTGTTCCTGGCCACCAAGCCGGAGCTGGGCAACCTGCCAGAGGAGAAGCACCTGCCTGAGGAACTTAAGGTGGGCACAGCAAGACAGAGGGCCCTGGGCCTGGTCACGATGGCCAATGGAGGAACAGGCCCGCCTGTTGGCATCTCCCATTTTCCCAGCACGCACTCTCACCAGTTGCTTTGGTGGCTGGCCCTCGGGCAGCAGTTGCTGGTGTAGCTGACCCGGAGAGGGGCAGGGCTGCGCTCAGGCAGAGTTCCACTTTGGCAGGTGGATTCTCTCATTTTGGCTATGCAGGTGGGGTACTAGAGATTGCAATGAGAGAGCTGAACACTCACCAGGTGCCCTCAGAGAGTGGCTGACAGACCTCCCCGGGGAGCGTGTGCCTGGCATCCTGAAAAGACCGCGATGCCTAGAGACTGCCCATTGGCTGAAGAGACTGGCTGTCACAAGTAGATTCTCATTCAGAGCCACCCTATAGGTCAGAGTTGAACTGCCCCATTGGGTTTCTGAGACTAGATCTTCCTGGGAACAGACAGCTTCATCTTTCTCCCGAGGAGCAGCTGGTGGGTTCGAATCACTGGCCTTGCAGGGAACATCTCCACATCTAACCCCTTACGACACCAGGGCGCCCTCAGAGAGGGGCTGGCATGGGTCATTGTTCACTGACAGAAAACCGACTCTGCTTTCCTGGTGGATCTCAGCAGATTCCCTCTAGTCTTTTCTCTTCAGAATATAAAATAAGTTGTAGTTATAACTCGTGGATACACTTCTGAAAGGACACTGTTCACATCAGGGCTGTGGGTATACAAGAGAAGTGCCACCAGAAAAAGCAGGATCACGACTCGGTCGAACAAGGTGATAACTCCGCAGTGAATCGGTCACGTCTCCGTTCAGCTGTGCTGTGTGTGGTGAGATCTCTGTGAAAAACAAGAGAGGTGTGTGCCCTGACCTTTACCTTTACCTCCTCCTGGCTTAGTCTAAACGCCAGAGGAACTTGTGAGGGAAAATGGGCACACCCAACTAAGCTCTCGGTGAGCGAACAGAGGACAGTTCTTTTTGTCCGCGCATGGTTGTAGGCTTAGCTCTGCACTGGTCTTAGAACTGCACTGAAAGTTGGAGCAGGGAACGGCGGAGGCCGTCCCGAGTAGTACTGAGGACTAGAAACACTTGAATGAGGTTATGACAGCCGAGGAGAGCTGGGCCAACCGCTTTCAGTGGCACCCTGCCTTCGTGAAGACAGGCCAGGGACGGGGACGAGCACGGGTGCCAGCCAGCTCTGGGCCTCACATGGGCACGGAAGCCTGGGTGGCCAGGGAGCTTAGTCAGAGATGTGGCAAGGGGGCTGGTCCTCAGAGGGCTGCCAGAGGCATGGTCGGGGGGTATCTGAAGGTTTCAGGCTAGTGGGAAGGGTAATCGTGACATTCCAAACTCATCGAAAGTCAGTCCATTAGGTTTCTGTTTCTCCAAGTCACCACTTCCTCCAGAATACCTCCCTTAAAACGCAAACACTCCTGCAGGCCACCGCTTGGTTGACCACTGCCATTCTTCAGGGAGGCCAGCTGCCTGCCCTGTAGTGTCTGTCACCTGCCTTTCCCATTCTCTAACCCCTGGCAGAGGCATCTTTCCTTGGGGAGCCTGGCAGGGCTTAATTCTGTCGTAATTCACCACTCTCTGGAGGAGGCACGGGTCACGTTCATTTTTAGATCCCTCAACTGCTCTTTGTCTGTCACGAGGGCTATGTAAACGTGAGTTAAATTCCCGATCAGCTGAGAGAATGAGCTGTGTTAGTTCTGGTAGACTAGAGAAACAAATTCATAGACACTCATATGTGTATAAAAAAGAGTTTTATATAAAGAACAATTGTATGTTGAGAAAACATCCCAATCCAGTCCAGATCAAGTCCATAAATCTGACATTAGCCCATATGCCTGACACCAGTCTATAAATTACTCTTCAGACTCACAATGACACCAAGTGCAAAAAGTTCACAGGCCAGTGGGTGGAAAGTCTTGTGGATCCAGTGGCGGTGGAAGCATCTCAACACTGGCACAAGTCTCCACGTGGCTCTTCCAGCTCCAGGGCTCTGGCTCCCATCAAGCGACTTGATTGACAGGCTAAACTCCACCCCTTCACTCTTAATAGTCTCAAGTTGGCACCAGATTATGTAACTATCACACTTGCCTCGCCAAGAAAATGGAGTGTTCTGGATGAGGACAGGAAGCCACCCTGAAACGTGACATATTAAGAGTTAGAAGGACAGTCTTGGACAGAAGAGCAGTTCGTCCAGCCGCCAGACTGGCTGGCTGAGAGAACGGCGCCTAGGGAAAAGGTCACATACCTAAAATCACTTGGGAGCTGCTGGCAGAGCTTGAGGCTGTGGACTTCCGGTCAGTGCCCCTCCCTCCGTGGCATTCTGACTCCATGTCTTTCTCCTGGGTTCTCTGCCCCCTTCTCTCGCTGCTCTCTCCCACTGGTTGTCATAGAACTCAGTTGTGAGGGGAACCGTTGTCCGAAATAAGTGATGCACTGACGCCAAGAACCATTTGTTGTTCGTGCCTTCAAGTCAGTCCCACCGCCTAACGACCCTATGTACAATAGAGCAAATGGTCCTGCCTTTCCTACACTTGGTTCTTGATTGATTTTCGTTCTTTAAATGGTTGGATGTCAACCAGTTGTTCTTGGTCCACTAACTGTGCATTCCTTCCATCTCTGGATGATTCCTGCATTATTCCATGTTTTGTCCACAGAATCTTAGTGTCGCCACTTCTGGGCTTGAATTTTCTCTTCAGTTCTTGCAGCTTGAGTATGCTGAGTGTGCATTTCTTTTTAGCTTTCTAACTCCGGGTGCTTACACATTTCACTATAATGGCTTACTTTTCTCCTCAAATTACCTTTTGAGATTTTTCTGTTCAGCTCTCTCACGCATCATTTTTACCATGTGCTTTAGATACTATATGTTCACGAGTCAATTTCATAGTCCCTCCTCCTTCCTGTCTTTTTAAGGACCTTTTTCTTTCTTCCTGTTTGATGTTCTTGATAGCATCCCACGAAACTCCTCAGCTGTTCATGTCCTTAGTGTTCAAGGCGACAAGTCTGTTCCTGAGCTTGCTCTCTGAATTCAATGGGATACACTCCAAGTCATGTTTTGCCTCTCACAGACTTGTTTTAATTTTCTTCAGCTTCAACCTGAAATTATGTCTGACAATTGGTGGTCTGTTCCACAGTCGGCCCCCGGCCATGTCTGGGCTGATGATACTGAGGGCTTCTCCATCGTCTCTTCAGTCAGTTTGATGCCTGTGGATTCCATCTGGTAAGGTCCATGTGTATAGCTGCTGTTTTTGTTGTTAAAAAAAGGCAATTGCTATGAAGGAGTCCATTAATCTCCAGCTTCATTTCTGTCACCACAGCCACATTTTCCAACCACTGATCATTCCTCTTTATTTTCAACTTTCTTATTTCAATCACCAGTCATTATCAATGCATCCTGATGGGATCTTTGATGGATTTTAGACTGAAGAGGTTAGGAGAACTCTGCAGTTTCATCCTGCCGTTAGTGGTGGTGCACATCTTTGACAGTAGTTGTGTTAACTGGATTTCTTTGTCAGTGTATAGCTGTTGTTCTGTCACACAGTGTTTTACCTCAAGATCTTGAGATGTTCTTTTGGATGACGAATGCAGTGCCATTCCTTTGAAATTAGTCACTCCCAGCATAGTCACTCGTGTGATATCTGATGAAAAATGGCCAACACCAGTCCATATCAGCTGGTTCGCACCTAGGATATGTATCTTTATGCATTCCATTTCATTTCTGACCATTTCTAATATTCCTAGATTCACATTCGAGTTCTTAAGGGATTTTTGCAGGAGTTTCTTCATATTCTGGGTTGTGCCCTATCAGCAAACGGAGGTTCCTGAGGCTTTAGCCCCATCTGCATCATGAAGTGATTCCACTTTGAGCAGGCGGCACTCCCATTCCTGTTTTGAGAGACTTCCAACGAGGGGCTCTTCCGCCAGCACTGGATCAGGCAACGTTTTGTTCCTCATAAGGTTTCCAGTAGCTACTCTTCCAGAGGTGGACCACCGCCTCCTCCTCCTCCTCCTTCCTTGTCTGTTCTCAGTCTAGATGTGCCACTGCATCCGGCCCCCATGGGTGACCCCACTGGTATTTGAAATGCAGGGTTCACAGCAACACCCAAGCCACCTCAGTACAACCAGCTGGCAGGCCGGCAGGACCACAGTTGTTAGATGACATGAAAGCTCAGCATGTGGGTTCCCAAAAAGTTTCTTTATAAATGTGCTTGGGTTTCAAAGCTTACCTTGAAAAGCTTATCTTGCACATGATGTAGCTGAATGTTTGGGTGAAGTTGTAGACCATAACATCAGCCCTTACCGTTGGTGTTATGTAAGAGAATTCGCAAAGTGAGAAAATCGAACACAATGCTAGGAAGTACACAAGCGTAACTGAATGAGAAATTATTTATGTTTAATGCTAAGGCTTGAAGAAAAGCAAATGTGAATGTGACACAATAGATGGGCGGTTTTCCTGTAGTTTCAGAGTTGACTGCTCTGTAATGCACCACTCTGGAGTGTCACCCCAGTCCGGGTTAGAGTCAAGGGTTAGAGACACTGCAACAGAATGAAGAGGAGCTTGCGAGTTAGGATGGATGAGGCAACAGTAAACACTCACAGATACTTGCCAAACGAACAACTGTGCAGTCTACCAAAACAGTAGAATTTGAATATTGAGTATTAAACAAAAGGCCTCCTGGGCTGTAGATACTCTGTGTAGGTTTTAGGCTAAAGCAGCCTCAAAGTGTATCTGCCACACTTTTAAACATGAGCTTCTTCACCTTTTTTTGGTCGTCAGCTTTCTCTCAAAGAATAAAAAACCAAAGCCAAACTCACTGCCATTGAATCATTGCTGTTGGCCTCTGAGACACTGTTTACAGGAGTAGAAAGCCTCGTCTTTCTCCCATGGAGCTGCTGGTGGTTTTGAACTGCAGACCATGCGGATTGCAGCCCAAGACGTAACCACCAAGCCACCAGAACTCCTTAAAGGAATAAAGAAAGACCAAATTAAAGTTTGCATCTGTTTCCCTCGCCAACCCTACTGATTCATCTCCTTAATTGATCCTGGCAGAGGAAAGGCCTTGAGACAGGGTTGGGGACGCCGTTAGAGAAAAGCAGTGTCACTCTGTGAAAACAGAGAGGAATGGTAGGAAAAAAGAGGCCAGTGAAGTCCGGGAACAGCCAGTCCTGCATGGGAACGCAGAGGGTGCTCTGGGAGAAGGAGGGGGCCTGCATTTAAATGCGTGGTTATGCTGAAGGAGGGATACAAGAGGACAGTTGTCTTTATAGCATTCCCGTTGGATTGAAAAAAATAACAAAAAACCCCAAACTCAAGAAGTGTAATAACAGGAGCAATCCGCAGAGAACTTGGAAGAGTTCTAGAACTTCCCAGAAGCCCCATCTCCAGCCATTGTTTTCAAATCAAGGCTTTTATTAAGTACTCAGTTACTACATACTTAATTTTGTTAAGGAATACGTAAAACTGGAAGGATTCATCATAATCTATTACCCACAGTAAAAATACATTCCTTTGGAGAATGAATCATAAATGTTCAATCAACAATTGCAGTGTGCCTGTATTTTCCTTTAACCCATTTGCTATACAATATAACATATTTTTACATCTTTTGATTACAAAAGTGATGTACACTTAGTGTAGCACTTAGAAAAAACTACAGGTAAATAAAAATCACTCACATATTCACTGCTAACATTTTGCTCTCTAAATGGCCACTACCTCTGTGAATTTGAACCTTAGACATTTCTATACTGTTATTTTTTCCCCTGTGAGTTTAATAATAAAAACTATAGTACAGTGGCTCAAATGTTAAAAGATGGTAGTAAACATTACATTTTCCCCTCATTTAACATTTTTTTCTGTACATTTTTATATACTTGGTATACTGTGGATAGGAAGTAGAATTTCAAGCTCATGCAACAGTTAAGGCAGTTCTTTAATATAAAAGATGCATGCAGCCTGACTGAGTGAAAATACTCCAGTCACACTCTCCCCATTAGATTCTTGAGCCTTGGCTTAGAGGCACTTTGACATCTAAGAAGAAGTCTGAGACCTTCTGATATTCTCTGTAAGTAGCCTATTTTTCATGCTTGGGTGCCGATAAAGTTTATTATTATTTTACATCTGGCATGATAATCAGGCTAAGTCAGGGTGGGTCTCTTCACATTCTCCCCTCAGGAAACTCTTTTCCTCACTGCTTTTGTTTGAGTTGTGCTGGTCTCCATCCCAGAAAGACCTTTCCTGTCTGAGGTTAAATCTTGTCTGTTAGAGTAAACCAGCCTCTAACAACTGTGGGCTATAATACATAAAGAGCATAGTCAAGTCAGAGAATAGGAGAGGTAGGAGAGAAGATAAAAGAGTCAGACACATTTCATAGTAGCATGCTCACCTCACCCCCTGGACCACATGGAGGTGGAAGAAGAGAGTCTTTGCTGTTTGGGGGCTTTTATAGGCAGCCATAAGTCATGCATATTCGGTAGTTACATAAGTCACAAGGTGGGTGGTAACCACAGCAAAGTCCCTGAGCTCACAGGTGAGGACACCTATTACCTGCCTTGGGAGAAAGCGTGAGGGGACATGGGGCGTACCGCTGTGGGAGGAGATAACAGGAACGTCTGCTTCTTCAGGGAGATAGAATCAACCATGCGCTCACTTTAAGGCAGCATAGCTGTTGGGGAGAATCTGTAGGAATATATTAAACACAGGATCATGTACTTGGACTTTATCTCTAAGTTACCAAAGTGGTGGCTTTCTTACCGTGGAATACTAGCTTTCCAGATTCCCTCTGTTATAAGTTAGGGAATATAGCCCTAGTCATATTTCCCTGAGTGTTAGTTTCCCACACTTGTCCATATCCATCATTGCCTCCCTCAGTTCAACTCTTCCATCCTCCATAACTTGCCGGTCACAATCTCAGTTCACATTTTAACTGCTCTCGTTAAAGATAAAGATTCTGCTCATGCATTTCTGTTTCCTTGGATTTTCCTTTCATGTTAATCCCTTCTCTCTGTCTGACTGTCTGCTGGTGTTCCCTAGAGGCTGCATCTTAACACTTTCACAGCGATACTAAATGGTTCTCCAAAAGGTACTTTACTGAAGCAGATTGTTTGCACGGTGCTTCCGGAGCCTTCAAGTCATCCTTTCCTCCCTGTCAAAGGTCCCTGGGAGGTGCTCTTGGAGTTGCCTCAAATGAGAGAGAAGGAGGTGGGTCCTCAGATTCCTTCATTCCTCCTGGAGTCTCTGGAAGTCCTCTCCTCCCAGTTGGCCTGGGAGGCCCACGTCTTTCCCAGTTGTCTGGGGACACACGAGACTCTGGACTCTTGTTACCCGAGAATGTAAGTCAGAATAATAAATTTTTTATTAGCAAGTAATATTTGATGCTACACTCAATGCACATGCATACACACACACACACACACACACACGAAATAAACATACCTGAACCTGCCTCCTAACTTAAAATGACATGTCCTCCTTTGTCTTAAGGGAGCCCCATTCATTGGACTTCCTCGTGGGCAGACTCCTGTAACCTGGGACCAACCTTCACAGGTCCTTTGTGATGACTCATCAAAGGGTGGTACCTTCACTCCCCACCCCTAACCCTCTTCCCAGGAATGTGATCTTTCAGGCATCCTTGAGCTTTGAAGTTCTCTGATATAAAAGGACACAAGCCCCCAATAAAATGATTTAATTAAAAAAAGAGGACCACACAAATGTATAAAACTCAAACTGGGCTGCCATCCAGTCATTTCTGATGTAGACTATAAATAACCAACTCATAATAATAACCACCTCTGAATTTGAATCTTGTACCTTCCTGCACTGTTCTTTTCCCCACTGTGAGTTTAATCATAAAAACGGGTAAAATAGCACACGTTTGCAGGTGGTAGTAGACATGACAAGAAAGGTTTGTTTCCCCCCTCATCACTATCATTGAACAATCAGCTTTTTATGGAAACTTACTGTTGATAAGTCACATGCACCTGCCTAGCTCTATAGGAAATACCACAGGCACATTCACTGCCATCAAGGCAATTCCCGTGCATAGTGGCCCGATGAGACAGAGTGGAACTGTGCCATTGGGTTTCTGAGACGGTAATGAAATAGACCGGTGATTGGACGGTGTTGTGGTGGGCCCAGCCTCTAAGGACTGTAGACCCTTCTTCCATGGAAGCATGTTGTTGCTCATGATGCTGGGCTGGTACGAGTCTGCAGCCATCAGAGGCGCTGGAGAGGAGTAGGGAGGAATTGAATAGTGCCAACTGCAGATACCACACACATGTGCCGTCGCCTCTGACGGCCTTTGACACTTTTTCTGAATTTGGGCATTTAAGTACAGATAAAACTCTTTATTTTTGCTCGTAGACTGGTGTTTTTTGTATCAATTGTGCCTTGAACCACAGGCCGGCAGGTTCTGTTGAGAAATCCTTTTGTCCAAGAAATGTTTGTTGTCAGGAGAATTGCCTTGTGTGCCAGAACCCAAACCATACCCATTTCCATCTAGTCAATTCCAACTCACAGTGCCCTGTTTAGGTTTTCCCCAAACCGCACATCTTCATGTGAAGCTGCAGCCTCATCTTTCTCCCGAAAGTAGAGTGGCTGGAGGGCTTGAACCACCAACCTGGCAGTTAATGTACAAAAAGACCAAACTCAACTACCATTGAGTAGATTCTGACTCATTTTGAACTGCAGGTCTCATGGTTAGCTGCACAACACAAAACTCAAGGCTCCTGACCAAGTGGGTCACAGCTCCAAAATCACTGCCACGGGCATATAGACCATGAGCCCTCGTGACGATGTTGGATGAGTGTTGACTGCTGAGTACCAGATCATGGGTTTAAACCTAGAAACTTCCATCCAGGAGAAAGAGGAGGCTGCTGTCATAAAGATTTATTGCCTCAGAAACCCTATATAGGCCAGCATGAACTCGGTGGCAGCAGGTTTGGGTTTTTCTATAGCCGAGAGCAGACATCCTCATCTTACTCTCTAGGAGTGATAGAAGGATTTGAACCACCAACCTGGTGCTTGGTGTCCCCCAAACAACTCCCAATATATAGAAAATGAGCCCAGTGGCACAGTGGGTTAAGTGTTGGGCTGCTGACAGCAAGGTCAGTGGTTCAAACCCAACCAGCCCCTGTGAGGGAGAAAGATGAGACTGCCAGTTCCCATAAAATGTGCAGTCTCTAACCTCTGGAGCCATTCTACCTTCTAGGGTCTTTCTCCGAACCAGCATGATAGCAGTAGGCTTGATAGACAGTCTTGGAATGAAGACGACCCAATATAACATGAAAGAAAATGCGGTGGAGGACACCTGAGAGAGCAACTCACCTTGACTGAAATTCCTGAGTGACATTTCCTGCTGCTTCCAGGCAAGGATGAGCCACGATGTCCTTAGGGAAGTACTAGGCATATAGCCCCGCCTGCTTATCCATATGTCCAGACCAAGGCTGAAGACACTGAGGTCCAGCTATCTCTGATGAAGTTGTGGGTCAGAATGTCCACTTAACCTAAACCAAGCTCCTGCCGAGTGTTGGTGGGAGGGCGGCTCAGTGATCCCGCCTGGCCTCTGCAAAGTCAAGCCCAGGAAGCAATGGGGGGCAGGCCCTCCCGCTGGGCCTCCATGCTGTTGTCTGCTAACTAGGCCCTTGTGCCCGTTTCATTTCCAGCCAACAGGAGACATGCTTTCGGCCAGCCGGCCAGCCCAGCCCCTGGTCTACTCGGAGCGCCTGGAGCTCATCCGAAGCGTCTGCCAGGATGACTCCCTGAAGAACCTCTCGCACACTGCCGTCTCCAAGTTTGTCCTGGACCGGATCTTCGTCTGCGACAAGCACAAGATTCTCTTCTGCCAGACCCCCAAAGTGGGCAACACGCAGTGGAAGAAAGTGCTGATTGTGTTGAATGGTGCGTGCACACCCGGGGAAGGTCTGGTTGTGGTATAGGTGAGGGAAGGCGGCAGCTAAGTGACCCCAAAGACAGCCCTTGGTGTTCTTGTCCCACACCTGCTGTACTAGAAAAGTTGGTGAAAGCAATTTAGATACTGCTGTCTTTGAGAGGGTCAGCTCCACCCCGAGAGGGTCTCCTTGCTTTCCACATAGGGATCAATACACCAGCTGGTTTTAGAAATCTGGCCTGCAGGCAGTGATCTTTCTCTAATGGCAGCCCAACCCAGGTTAAAGGAGGCCGGGTGGTATAGTGATTACATATTGGGCTGTTAGCCGTGAGGTCAGCAGTTTGAAACCACCAGCCAGATCTAAGAGAGAAAGAGGCAGCTTTCTACTCCTATAAAGAGTTACAGTCTCAAAAACACACAGGGGCAGTTTATGGCAATGAGTTGCCTTTGACTCGAGGCAGTGAGTTTGACATTTTTAAACCCGGTTTAGGAGCACTGGCAAAGGTGGCTGTTCCCAGTATTTCTATTCCTCGTTCATCAGTCTCCCCTTAGGGATTACCACAAGCTTCTGTTCATCCGATTACCCTGGGAGGATCAGCAGATGGAATGCAAACCTCCAGAGGGGAATGTGGAAGGTGGGTTTGTCAGGCACGCCCATGGGGGACGTGAGGGCTCAGTCAACAGAGATTGCAGGGCTTGTCCTTCAGGATAACCATCAGAGCTCAGCCAGGTGGTCACCTGCCTCTCTCGGTTTACCTCCCAGGAGCATTCCCATCCATCGAGGAGATCCCCGAGAACGTCGTCCACGACCACGAGAAGAACGGCCTGCCCCGGCTGTCATCCTTCAGTGACGCAGAGGTTCAGAGACGGTAAGGGAGCTTCCACAGACAGGAGCAGGCAACCCGACAGCTCTGCAAAGGCCTTCTGTCTAGCACCAGGCTCTGAGCATGTGGGGTGCCCCACGGAGCCCTGGCGGCAGCAGGTTTGTGCAGCCCAGGTCATGCCCAGTGTCTGTGCCTTTAGTTCTTGAGTCCGTCAGAACTTCAGAACTCCTCAGATCTCCCTTGGCTCTGCTTGGTTCTCATATCAGCGCCCCCTCACCCCCACCCAACTGCCTAACTTTGACCCCCCCCCACCCCCAGCTGGCTCTTCATTTCCTGCGGCCTCTGGGAAATGCAGCCTTTCCAACTTGTACAAAGTCCCCAAAGCTCAGAGGTTCATGACCAGCGCGGAGCTCCTAGTGAGTCAGGGCTGTGGGGTTCTGCGAAGTGTCACGTCAGCATTGAGAGCAGCCCCTGGGCTGCAGTCAGTGCTCTGTAAACGTCATGGTGGCCAGCTTGCTCTTGTCATTAGGACGAGCTGCTCGCAGTGCTACAACCACTGCCAACTGCCACTGCGGGTGATCCACGCCGGCCATCTTCTGCCCCAGCTGGAGAGTAAAGCCTGTCCTTTCCTCTGCCCATCTCCCCTTCCCTCCCCATTCCTCTGACAATTTTGAATCAACTTTTTGGAGATCTACCTGTAAGTCACGCTTCTGGCCTTGGCTGTTCCTAAGCCAGGCAGAGCACCTTCCCCTACAGTGGTTTGCCCAGGACCAAAGCTTCTAGGCATCCTTGGTGTTTTGAAACATTCAAGTGACACCAAAAACCCACTGCCGTCGGTCGAGTTTCTGATGCACAGCGTCCCTATTTACAGGGCTTCTGGGGCTTTGTCAATCTTCACAGAGCAGAGAGCCTCCTCTTTCTCCTGAGGAACAGCTGGTGAGTGTGAACTGCAGCCCTCGTGATTAGCAGTCCCAAGCTTGCCCGGCAGCACCACCAGGGCTCCTCGAGTGAAACAGACCGAGATTAAAGAAGCGTTCTGTGGAGTTGGCTGCCCCCACGATGAATGTGTGGCCTTACACAAGGTTCAGAGGTTTCTGAGCCTCTGGGCTACGTGCTGGGCTGCTCACCCCAAGGTCAGCAGTTTGAAACCTCCAGCTGCTCCATGGGAGAAAGAGGAAGCTTTCTACTCCCATAAAGAGGTGCAGCCTCAGACGCTCACCCGGGCAGTTTGACTCTGTCCTGTAAAGTCGCTATGAGTTGGAACGGACTCTAGGACAGCGAGTTTTTTGAAGGGAGTCTCCTCACCTGTACAACGGACCAACAATAGCACCTGCTCCCTTGAGTTGTTGCGTGGACTAAGTCAGAGCCACACGGAAAGCACCAGGGCAGGGACTGGTGGCACCAGGGGGGTCAGGGACTGGTCGCACCAGGGAGGGTACAGGAGGGACAGCTCTCACTGCTGTTTTCTCACCGTCCCCACTAGCAGCACCCCATCTGTTCACTGCTGCTTTCTGTTTTTCTCTCTCCTTAGACTGAAAACATATTTCAAGTTCTTTATTGTGAGAGATCCCTTTGAAAGACTCATTTCTGCCTTTAAGGACAAGTTCGTTCACAACCCCCGGTTTGAACCCTGGTACAGGCATGAAATTGCCCCCGGCATCATTAGGAAGTACCGGCGGAATCGAACAGAGACCCGGGGGATCCAGTTTGAGGATTTTGTGCGGTACCTGGGTGACCCAAACCACAGGTGGCTAGATCTGCAGTTTGGGGACCACATCATTCACTGGGTGACGTACGTGGAGCTCTGCGCCCCGTGCGAGATAAAGTACAGTGTAATTGGACACCACGAGACCCTGGAGGAGGATGCGCCATACATCCTGCAAGCAGCTGGCATAGACCATCTCGTATCCTACCCGACCATCCCTCCCGGTATCACCATGTATAATAAAAGCAAAGTGGAGCACTACTTCCTGGGCATAAGCAAACGGGATATCCGGCGCCTGTATGCACGATTCGAAGGGGACTTCAAGCTCTTTGGGTACCAGAAACCCGAGTTTCTGCTAAACTAACACCTGGGACCCATGAAATCAAATTTCTCTGTGAGACCAGGGGGCTCACCAGGTGGGGGACCTGGGCACTGGGAAGGGCGCTTCCTCCAGGGCACTCTCTGGCTTATGAAGTGGGACCCTGACTGCTACCACACACATGGGCCTGGATGGAAGGTGCACCCGAGGGCCCCAGCCCAACCCCACTGATGCCATTGTGGTTAGGACGGCACCACCTTTTCTCCCCTCCCAGGAAGAGAGAGATGAACAACGTGCAGCCTGATAAACCAGGAGGGGAAAAAATCAGTCCTCGGGTCATTTTACTCAGTTATTAGAGAGGTGGGCTCACCCCACAGGGATCCGTAATGGTCTGGAAGAGTCCTGTCTGTCACAGGTGGATCGAAGCAAGAGCACGCAGCACACTTCAAGGAAACATGGAGAAGTGCATGGACTGCAAAAAACTACGGGGCTGACCCAGGATCAAGTGTCGGTAACAGAACCAAACCTCTGGTGGACTGCCCCATCTGGCTGCTGCTGCTGTCAACACAAAGACAACCCAGGTTTCCCCTGTGACTGTTTGTTTTCCTTCTGAATTTGGACTGGTCAAAAGGCAGTTCCAGTCAGTACATCTTTCCCAAACGCATAGCTGTACAATGACAGGTCATATTTCCGAAGCTCTACCTTGCCAAGTAGTTAGCATGTTCAGCCAAGATGGACCATTTTGGAAGGTGAGGGGTTGTATGTAAGGTCTCCCTCCAAGAAAGGGAACATCTTCGGGGTCCGTCAGGGAGTGTGGAATGATAATGTGAAGGCCTTCCTGGTTCCAGAAGTTGAGGCCTGCCATGGATTGGAGCCCATCCGCCCTGACTGAGGGCCACACTGGGTGTGGACAGGGTAGCGGGAGTCTGCCACTCTCTTCCAGGAGCCCCTGCCCTGGGGCCGAAGGCCACCTGGGACAGAATACCAGCTTTGCCAAATTCAGTACCACTTACATGATTCACCTTCCTCTCCTCAGCCAGATACACACCACAGACCACTGCTCCTAAAGCCATCACCCTGGAATAGATGGCAAAACGTTGGGCATTTGAGTCCACCAGCAATAAAATCCCACGTGGACGCAGCCTCCAGGAACTCGCAGGCCCGAGCTAGGCCCCCTGTGAAGAGCAAGCCACAGGCACCAGTTCAAAAACAGCCTGACAGTGAGGACCATGAGGTAGGGGACTCGCCGGGAATGGGACAGAGGCCCCAGGACTGGGGCCAGTGAGCGGAGCTGCTCTTCAAGCAGCTGAGCCTTTTTTGTTTCCTTTTGTTTTTCCTCCATGCAGCCGTGGGAAGAGAACAGCTTCCGGAATTTGTAAATGTGAAAAGTCAAGCAGAATTAAACATACGTGCCAAACCTGAGATGTGTTGCAGTTCCAGGGCAGGGCGCTGGAGGCTACATGGCACCTGTATCAGGAGACCGTGAGGGCCGCACATAGGAGGAGGGCTGCAGGCAGGAGGCCAGGCCCCAGGCAACGGTGCCCGCCCAGCAGCAGCAGTCAGTGCCGCGGCCCTTAGCCCTCAACTGATGCCTAAAGGATGTAACACTTGAGTTATTTTTATATGAAGTTTTAGCAAAATCTTGTTGAATTGTTTCAGACCTAATGCGCTGACCAATTACCTCTTTCCTATTTGAAATGTGTAACAGTGTGGAAATGTATGTGAATTTAAGGCCTTACAGTTAGTCCTAATTAAAAAAAAAATCCCTCTCAAAATCAAGAGTGGCCACTTGTTCTTTTGTCGCTGTTCTTATTTTTCCAACCCCTCGTGCGTAAAGGAAGATGTGGCATTTGGGTCATTTTCCTAATGTGTTTTGCCCAAACAAGTAGCAATTGCTACCAATTGCTGGATATCATATCCAGGATATGATATCTCCTGGATGTCAGGCAATATCTCCAGAACAAAGGGTGTCCCTATCCCCATGTGGCTCCCGGGTGCCACACCAATCACTCGCCCTCCCCCGGGTCACATCCTTCTGAATCTGTCTCCAAAGCCCACTTCCTCCTTCCTGGTCTTCAGAGTCCGAGGCCCATGCTGCCTCCTATTTGTTCCTGGAGCTGCAGCCACACCACGCTCTGACCCCTTCCATTTGGCTCTGGGCACTGCAACCACAGAAGCCCGACTAGTGCAAACTCGCCCTCTAGGAACGACTCCCCAGTGAGACTTTCCTGGCAGTTCTCTGCTCATCTTCCAGCCTTTGCTCAAGTTACAGCCTTGCCTGCCTGCCCCTGCCCATGTCCTCTGTGGGAATAGCTCCCTTAAACCTGCACCCAGCACTCTCCGGGAAGCCACCTTTGCCCCCACCATCAGGAAGTCCTCTGCTGAACCCTTGGTGCCTCGGTTGGGGAGGAGGGAAGTCTCCATTTCTAGGCAGAGACACCAGGGGACAGAGGAGACACCTCATGCCTGGAGCTGCCTGAGAAGGAAGCACCCTTGGGAAAGCTCAATGGGAGAACTCAGAAATAGCATTACCTTGATTTGAAAGAAACATGAGGGGCCACTTAACCTCTACATTGGCTTCTCAGAAAGGCCTGGAGGCAGGGTCGTCTGACTTCTAATGTCACAGTGTGGAAGGAAGGCAGACTGCCTCCAGCCCTTTATCCTTACCAGTTCTGATGCCAGTCAGCCATCCCTCCTACAGCACTCTCTCTTTCTCAGCGGGGTTCACTAATTCATTGCCATGGTCACACAGAGCCCAGACTATTCTCATAATGACAGCAGCTTAACAGGTTATGTGGGATCTTGAGTTGTGCATTGGACTGCCATCCACAGGCTTGGTGATACAAACCCATTAGCTACTTCACAGAAGAAAGGTGAGGTGTTCTGCTCCCATAAAGATTTAGTCTGAGAAGCTCACAGGGGACGTTCTACTTGGGGTTGCTGTAAGAACAAGTGACTTGATTCTAATGAATTTGGTTTTGTGGTGTGTGTGTGTGTGTGTAAACAGGTTACACACAATTCATGATTAGAAATGCCCTGGACAACCTCTTTCCAGACATGGCTTCAGGCACACCTCTCTGGTCCTTGGCCTCTTTGCTATTTTGCTACAAAGCTCTCTCAGGGATGCAATAAATACCCAAATGACACAGCATTCCACCTTAAGCCTCAGCTCAAAGGCACTCAGCTCTAGCTCTGAGAGTCAGCAAGCCTAGCTACCCAATTAACTGCCCTTGGGCATCCCACTCAGCAAGCAAGCCTCTTGCCCCAAAGCCATCATCTTTTCTTGCTCCCTGGCTAGGAATCCTGCCCCTCCCTCTTGGTTCTGTTGCTGCTCTGCAAGTCCCCTACCTTTTCTCTAGTGTTACAGCCTTCTCTCCCTGGACTGAGGAGGTTCAGTGCATAGGGATCTCAGGGTCCAAATGCCCTGTCCCATTCCTGGCTGTTCCTTCTCGATTTCCAGATTCCTTAGCTTTCCGTCTCTGAGATGGCTCATTTTATACTCAACAGGATGGCATCCCCTTGTTAGAGTTCCAAGGTTTTAAAATCACAGTTTGCCAGGTTAACAGTCAGTCACAACTTAATCATATAGCCCCATCAACTTTTTCTCTCCTCTGACTCAGACCCATCAAGAAAAGAGGGAATACTCCTAGTCATTCGGTGGGAGTTACAAAGACTCTGGCAAGAAGAGCCATACCCAGTAAATCACTGCGTCAACATTTCCAAGGATTCAGTAACAAAACATCTCAAAGTGAGTGGTTTGTAAGTGCAGAAACTTAATGTCTCAGTTCTGGAACCTAGAAGTCTAAAGGGTGTGTGTTATGCAGGGGTCTCTAGAGAAAGCCAGGACACTTATGATATAAAAGGATAAGTTTATATAGCAAAAATGAATACAACAGCAAATTAGTCCACGTAGCATTACAGAAAGCTCAGCCCAACCCATTTTTGTGGGACAGTTAATATACTGAAGGTCTTTCCAACTTTCTGGCCACTGGTCCAAGGCTGGGGAAGCAGACAGTAGGAAGATTAGATGTTGAGGTGTAGCAGAGGCCAGAAGCAGGTCACAGTGTAGCCTCACACTACAGTGATTCAAAATGGCAGGAGGTGCGGCGTCTGGAGTGGTGGCAAGATGAGGGGAGTTGGCTCATAGGCAGCAGTCACAGCAAGGTGGGGCAGCACTGCGGTATGGAACAGTACGGCTCAGCAATTGCCATCCACCACAGTCCATGGGTTGGCTTGGCCCACAGGTAGCACAGGCACACAGAGATAGGACAGCTACTTCTGCAGTACTCTGATCCGACTACCAGGGAGGAAAAGGGAAGAGGCCAGCCTCAGGGTCACACCTCCAAAAGAGATCATCAAACTGTCACATAGCTCTCTCTTAGTTTCTAGAGTTCCAGGCATTCCTTGGGTGTCACATGACAGGCACGGAATCTGTCTTTAAGGACACTACTATGATTGTATTAAGACTGCCACCCCCAGCTCTGGTAAAACCACCTATTAAAAGAAAAACTCTCCAAAGACCTTATTTCCAAGAAGATCATGTTAACAGAGACAGGGAGGGGTGTTAGAATTTTACTCTTATCTCTGAAGGAGGTCAAAATTCAACCAATAGCAGCTTTCCAGCAGTGACTGTAAAGTAGAGCTTGAGGGTTAGTAGTAACCAGCGGTAGCTGCTGGCTTGTTAGTTGCAGCCAAGCTGACCCCTGACGTGTGGTAATCCTATGCACAGCCAAGGAAAGCACACTGCCTGACCCTTCACCATCCCCAAGATTAACTGGACCATTGCAATCCACTTGGCTGATTGTTGTAAATAGATCACCAGGCCTTGCTTCCTAGTTCATCTTAGCCTAGATATTCCACTGACATCATAGCATTATATGTTCAGCATCATAGCAACTCACAAACATCCCCTAAAAGGCAGGAGGTGGATGTGAAGGAGGTACACTGGCTGGAATTAAACCTGGGCCTCCTGGATGGAAGGTGGAAATTCTACCACTGACCCCAGATCCACGATTGCCCTCTTAATATTATTACCTTAACAGGTGTGTGCCTTAAATTGAGTTGCTTTCCCCCTACTCGAATTTCTCTCCTCAAACATTGTGTTTTTATTGGTCCTATGTTGGAAACCATTACAGTAAAATGTCTAGAACTCAAGCATAGACTTGATTTTTAGACTGACTAACGATCCATAGAGAGGTGCTACCTACCCAGTGTATTATATTATTTGATTTCTCAACCACTGTTTCCAAAAGCATTGACTGTGGGCTAAGCAAAATGAAATCTTTGGAACTTCAATCTTTTTTCTTTTTATCATGATGTTGACTATTGGTCCAGTTTTTTTAGACGTTGGTCTTTCATTACACTGAGGTACTGGATTTTGGGTACTGATGGAAACCAATCCTGGACTTGAGTCCTCTATGCCTTATTTGCATGATCCCACCCCGTCATTTGGTGCAAGTTATGAAGACTATGGATAGAAGAGCCCTACCTAGTAATTTCAAGTCACTGCAGCACAGTATGGGGGCAACAGCTCTGTTACACATAAGATTGCCACGAGTCTGAACCAACTCGATATCAACTAACAAAAACAGTTTTGTATTTAAGCACTGTTTTGTGAAGAAACTTCACTAGGACATTAAGGAAGCTGTTTCTATGAGAAATTTCTATTGTAATGTTATGCATGTTCAGGTTCAGGAAATTCCAAGGGAAAAAAATGCCACAGAGCTTTGGTCAGATCAGTAGCCTCATTACCACCCAGCTGCCAACTCCATTAACACTAATGACAGCTTATTTACACTTTGGACAACAAATCCCCAGCGTGTAGAATGAGTGTTGATCACTTATCCACAATTCAGCCCCTGTTTACTGTGCATCTGTGTTACAGACTGTTTGAATATTTCTATAGTTTATTTTTATACTCTGAGTCCTGTAAAGTCTGTGCCTGATTTAAAAAGAAAAGAATTGTCAAGGACCAGATGTAACAGCAGCAGCCTGTGATGTTAGCGATGAAGTGCTTTCACACCAGCCATCCTGCAGAAACACTTGATTCCGTGTTCAGCTTTAATGCTTAGGGAAATGTATTTATTTAGGCACCAACATGTATGCTCAACGTAACCGTAGAATAAGTGGTGGTGGTGGTGGTGGTGTTAGGTGCCATTAATTCAGTTCCAACTTCTAGGAAGAAGTGGTCTATTTCTGAAAAATAAGCCACTGAACACCTTATGAATTGCAGCAAAACATTGTGTACTACAGTGTCAGAAGATGAACCTTGTAGGTTGGGAGGCATGCAAAAAATGACTGGAAAAAAGATGCTTCTTCCAAGTAGAGTCAACCTTAATGGCGTGAATGAAGCAAAGCTTTCAGGACTTACACTTGCTGATGGAGCATGAATCAACATGAGAAGAAACAACTGCACCATCCATTATTAATCCGAGTATGGATTATGTACAACATATGAATCTAAGAAAATTAGAAGTTGTCAAAAATGAAATGGAATCCATAGAGATTGAAATACTAGATATTTGTGAGCTAAAATGCACTGATGTTGGCCTTTTTGAACCAGATAATCATATAGTTTACTATGGCAAAAATCACAAATTCAAGATAAATAGCATTGTATTATCAAAAAGATCATTTCAAGATCTGCCTTGAAGTACAATGCTGTATAATTTCTCTTTGCCTACAATGAAATCCATTAAATACAAATATTCAATTCTACATACCAACAAATCAAGCCAGTGGTGACTGATAAATTCCATATCAACTTCTTCAGTTTGAAA